GGCAAAACAGGCCACTGGCACGTGGTGGAACACAGGGGCTCAGCATCCAGCAGGACAAGGTGAGGGAGATTGACCTCACTCCCGGCAGGCGCCAAGGAGAACACGAACCTGGGGTAAACGTGAGCACTAATCCCCTTTTCAGGGGGGTGCTCTGGCTGAGGGATTTGCATCCACTGAGCTGTTTAGTCTCCCTTTTAGATCTGAGCTCTGAGCAAATGCAAATATCTTTAAATTAAGTCAAAGCAGCAAAGCTGCTGGATACCAGGCAAGCATTTACATATCACAAGGCTGCAAAGGAAGTGATAGCCTCACCTTGCTCCACACGCAGCTCCAGTCATTTACACATCAAGTAGGTGAATTCAAGAGTGCAGAAATAGACCTGTAAATATATGGAGATTCTGCTCTTGCAAGTAGTTCATTTTCAAAGCACATCTACTTCTTAGCGTAAGGTTTGGGGTCACGCTCCGCCTCACAGCCTTCACCCCACTTTCCAAAACAAGCTGGTTCAGCTCGCCAGCTTCCCTCTACAAGCAAAGCATAAACTATACGTGCAACATACGCTTTTAGTGTTGTCACCACTTTCATCTCGCTGCTAATTACTATTGCAAACTACGTCCACATCCAAAAATGTCTGTTTTAGTGCAGTACATTCTTGCTATTTGTTTCTTACTTTTAAAATACATGTGACAAATATTTCCATATTTTATATTTCTACATTCTACTGACTGCATCCAAATCTTAAGGTAGAATATTCCTCTGATCAAAACACAGCGAGGCAAACTGGAATAGAGCCAATGCCCTCCACTCCTCTTGTAAAAGATGGATTTATGATCTTTAGTGACAAGTCGTCGTGTACATCTTGATTTTTCATCTTACCTCAGGCAGTCCAGTGTCGTCCTCCCCCACCTCATGCTTCGTCATCAGTTCATTTTTGACTTGCGAGAATCCTGTTTCTCATGATTTCCCAAGCGCTGCAGGAGACAGCCATTTTGTAAATGTTTCCCATCCAAGTACCAGTCTAAGGTAGCAGTGTCCAGCTTGTGAAACAGCACTTGCCTTCAGAGGACAAGCTTTGGTCAAAGTAGGGATACAAAAACTTTACAGCGCCCCACATACGGTAGACCCAAGCTTGCCGGACAGTATTGCCTCTAGCTGGCGCAGCAGGCATCCTCCTTACCTCAGTAAGCCGCGTTACTGTGCGGCAACCTTAGTTAGCCTAAATAAAACCAAGCAGAAGGGAGCCTGGAGATGTCAACAGTAAAGGCCAGCTTGCTGCCTAGCTCCAGCACCCAGAGAGAAAGCTATAGCTAAGGCAAAGATTCAGTGTTTTAGGGAGGCAAGGAGGAATTAATTATATGAGAAGATACTTCAGTTTGGCACTTAACTGGATTACAGATGCTGGCCGCCTGGGCCTTTGTCATCTCCTTGCAGGTGCTCCTTCAGCAGCAGGCTATCTTCTGCTCTAGCCCAGAACTTCACACCTATCCCAGACACGTCAGCCAGGTTCTTCTCTCTCCTTGTTTGCCAGTCCCGGCTCTCTCTATACCCTCGGCGCTCCTGAGCCACTCCCTCACCATTTCCCTTATCCTCACCTACAGCTGAACTGGCTCTTGAAGCAGATGTTCACACACACACACACACACTCAGCTCTGCAGGTGAATTTTGCCATTTTCAGCTGCGTCATTCATTTCCAGCTCTTACTGTTTCTTGTGGTATATGTTGTCATTCCAGTTATGTGCCTTTGCTCTATGCACTGGTCCATCCATGACCTGCCTGAAAACCTGAAGTCTCCAACCAGTTTAATCTTCTGGCACCAATACCAGAAAGCAGTTGCTACACCCCCACCCCCCATGTCCTGATTTGATCTCACCAGTCCCACTAAAACGTGTCTCTCTCCAGTTACTTTTAGTGACTCACACTTTGACAAGTTTCACTTGTGTTTCCTACAAAATAAATCCCGCAGTTGCTTCTGGCAACTTGGGTGCGCTGCCATGCTTCAACATCGCAGGAAGGGCTAATGGTGAACCGGCCAACGAAACAGAACCCGACAAAATGACAGATAGTTGGAGGAGCCCCAAGAAAGTACCCATTTAAATAGCAGTTGACTAATAGCCTTAGGCTTCTGGAGGCCCACATTTTAATGAATGCTAGCAAAATAGGCAATCCTGAATGTGTCTGCCCACACATTGATTCCAGATGGTTTTATTGTATTTAATCTTGTCTCACTCCCAGTCAAAAAGCTGAATAACTGTGATTTGGAAGGGCTGGGAATTTGACGAACCACAATGGACCACAGAGAGCATTTCAGACAGGGACTGTCACATCAGTTCAGCATGAACAGTTGTAGCAACCTTAAAAAGATAAAGTTTAAAAAGAAATGCCAGCATCGGTTTAATCCAAGTGAAACCAGATGATGGCATTTCTCCTATTTGGACCCATTTTTCTAAGCTCAACGCCTACAAATTCACCTTCTCTATTTCCATTTCACAATCAGATACAAACACAGGGACTTTCTTGTGATGGTTGTGAATGTTTTATTATAGAGCCTTATCAATAAATTGCTTCTCTGAAAATCAGTTTTTCAGAACTAAAATCTAATCTGGCAGGGTTCAATAAGTAACAAGATGAACTCAGCCATGCAAACAAAATATTACTAAGTTACTTTAATAAAATTTTATCACAACAACCTCAGGAAGAAGAGCGCGTCCTGGAGACTTAGACAGTTAATCTTGGATTTTATTAACATTTCAGATTCTTTTTGTTATGCCCTAGTCTCCAGTACAAAGCCACCTTCATTTTGATGCTAGAATGGCATAGATCTTTAGGTGAGTTTATGCCTCTGATTCTTGTCTTATTTCATAGTGCTGTAATAAAAATAGCACCATCAGTGTTCAGTGCTCGCCGTGATACATTTAAGCAACTGGTCATTGCACTGAAACAGAACTTCTGGAGAAACTGAGCTTATTCCTGGACAGTACTTGCTCACAAAAGGTCTAGCTCCCAAGTGTTTTAAGTATGTGCCATTCATTTTCTGTTCAGCACCTCTTATCATGTTTATTAAAGTAACTTTATTGGGTCATGTTGCACACGATAGGATATTCAAAATTCCATCTTGACCTTCACAGCAGGATCTAATACTGCCTGGAAGATAACCAACAAACAGTTTCTTTGTATATACAATCAGCATTCTGGGCTTGCAGCTACTTGCTGACAAATGCTTACCAGTTTCAGTTAAATACAAGAAAACCTAAGAACACTGAGACATTTGAAAATAAGCATTGCCGTATTTTTGACATATTTTGGGTGGTTTAGCTCACCTTATTAAGTACTCTTGATTTCCAGGGCTTAATTAATTACACACAAGTTTTACAAAAGCAACGTCATGTCCTAACATTAATCAAACATAACATTTAAGATTTTTTTTTATTGTGCAAAACTTAAGCAATAAGTCTTATTAGTACAATAAGCTGAAAAGCAAGGGATATTTAAAACAACATTCACATTCAGTGTGCAATTTTTATCCCTACTTCCATCCTTTGATGTGGAATCTAGAATTCCCATCAGTAAGTGCTATCTGAAAATACCAATAGTTTGTTTCCCCTTTTGTTATTGGGAGGAGACTCAGAATATATTTTTGCATTAGGTTTTTTCACACAATTAAAACAGCTATTTAAGTTGATAAATACAAATTAGACACTGAAAAGGGTGGAAAAATACATACTGAAAGCATCCACCTAACTGGTGGTATGACTGATAATTTATCGCTTATATTCAAAAATATAATTGATATTCTGATTTTCCATTTTGAATGTAAGATTTTAGCAAATAACCCAAAAATTTGTTTAAAAATTTTGGCATCTACTAGTTGTAAAAGTAATTTAATTAAACAGTTAATTTTCGTTAAAATCTTTAGCTTGTTAGATATCAAGTGCTACCAGTCAAGGCAGTCACAAAGACAGTTGGATGTTTACATAGCACCATATATAGATAAATATCTCCAGAAAGAGAGAGTTATGTTCGGCTGGGAACATAGGAGTATTTCCTGAATATTTTAGGTATCTTTGCTTTTCACATCATAAATATGTGTAACAATTCCTTAATTTGAGAAAAAAATGCACAGAATTCCACTCTAGCTTTAAGACGGTGCTATCATTAATTCAAATTCTCTATGTATAAAAGTATCAAGAACTCTTCAGTAGTCAATTTAAAAAGCAGATCAATAGTTTTATGTAAACCTGTTAAAAAAATCACCACATCATTTGGCTTTAAAGTGACAAAGTATTTTGCTTAATATAACTTACTAAGCATGTGAAAAGCTAACATCAAACTACAATTTCAAAAAGATGCAGAGAGTGCATTATCTCTGATACTGAAATACTCAATTAAAATATATAATTATATAAAGAAACTCCAAGAAATATAATTATGATTTGTTACAGTGGTATTGTTCATTCCAGTAATAATGCTTCCTATAAGGAGGCTGCATGTTAACTAAAACACACTAACCCATTGTAGTTCCCAGTTAGAGAACATCAGTATTCTCCCTCTGCCTCTCCTCCAGTCTGAATTTACTAAAAAGTGGACTAGGTTTTCTAATTAAAGAAAAAGGGAACTATGCTTACTGTCCAGATGGCCATTCTCTAGCTCTAATCAAAATCTTGTCAACTTATCTACAATTGTTAGGTTTAGGCTACTAACAAATCTTGAAGTAAAGTGTTAAAAATAGATAGAGTAAGTAACCAGCCAATTTCTGTATTTTTTAATCACCAAAATCTACATATCAAAATATTTATGGAAGCTCTAGTGCTGGTGACATCATTGACTCTTACAAACTGAGCGTTCCATAAAAGTTGCACAGATGGAAAAAGATGCCTTGAGACAAATGGAAATAAAGTCCAACAGAAGAAAGATTTCCTAATATTGAGCCCCAATTCCTGACAAACTAACACACATATTTCAGTGACAGACACTGCTCGTTGTTTTGGCCCTGTCCCTCTCCCAAAATCAGCTTCATAAGCTGTTATCACTCCAATAAAAAAAACAAAACAAAAACACCCCCTTAAAATACTGTATATGGAGTTCTGGATTCCAAAAATAAAATGACTAAGCATTTTCATACTCTTGCTATGAAACATCAACTAAAAAATATGAATGTTTATAAAGAAACTAAATTGCATTTTACACATTGTATCTATTTTACTATGGTATCTATACAGTTCTCTGTGCTAGTGGAGAATTCAGCATCTTTAGAAGTACAACGTGCAAAATTCAATTACATTTTGAAGAAAATTCCAGTTTTAAAAGTTGTATGTAATTTCATACATGACAGGCCAATAATCTAAAGACTAATCTCAAACAAAGCTGTACAAAATTTGCTTCAAATCTCCCTATACCCCCCAAAAAAGGCACTAAGTGGTTTAAGTGTGCAAATGGCTTCTTAGAAGAAACAGTGTGCAAAGAGAGCCTGTTGCATTAGCTCCGCATTCTTTAGTGATTTCCTAGAGAGTATTGGTATTAAACGCTATCTACGGTATGACTTCCTAAAGAACAGAAGACAGTCAATCCACAGAATCACAGATATCTTTCACTTTCTGATTGAAGTCTTCAGGTTGATCAGCGTACACGTAATGACCTGCACCAAGGATAGCCTAGAGGACAAAGGTGAAGAAACAGGTCAAATCACAAGAATGTAATAAACAAATAAATAAATACTGGGATAGGTGAAGAACCTAACTTTTACATATTACCTACTTGATACATTATTACTTGAAAAGACACATTTCAAAACTGGAACTGATCTCTTGCACCAGCCTCTGTTAATGCAGTTAGCACAACTGCTGCCAGGAGGTGGTATCGTACAGCCTAAACAGGACTGTAAACATAAGGAAAAACGAAAGCTTGTTTCACATGTTGAAGGAGCTTTGCTATACAGGAAAAGAGGGTAAAACTACTGCTCATTCACCTGCACACCTTGTTGAAAAAAAACACCATTCAAGCAGACACAAGTCACTGCAAAACAAACTTAGGAGAACGTGCTTTACATATCAAACTTCTGATTCAACTTCATCCCCTTCACTCTCCACTCTAATAGTTCTGCCAGATTGCTCTTTAGTTCTGTAAGTGTTTGCATTAGAGAGAGCATCAAATAATTTGTATTCTCTTATTATAAAAACTATATGGAAGAGACTAAATAAGGTATTAGGATAAATGATTAAGAACTCAGAAGCTTAAATTGCTGGGGATTTTCTAGACTTGGGGAAGCAGATTTCAACTCTCTGAATTAATGACTACTATGTTAAGCAGGGACAGCTAAAATCCAAATAATGCAATATATGGGGGAAAAGCCCACATTTGTGACCTAGATTATTTCAGAGCAACTATGTAACAAACTTAAGGGCTTAAGTAACCACCCACAGGGTTTACCCTGTTTATGTAATTTATCATTCTCTGCCAAAATTGGTACGAAGCAAGTTGCCACCACAGTGTACAGCAAATATACTTGACCTATTTTCTTTCATTTTATAATCAGTCCAAGATCAACTGTATTTAAATCTATTTTTCCCTTCCCTCCATTAAAACACTCGTCTCTAATTGAAGCCCATAAAAGTATAGCTATGTTATTGTGTTAAAAAAATTCCACAAACTCAAAGTAAAAATTAATTAGAAATAAACACACATAATAAAACCCCAGAACCTCTCTCCATTTTAGCAAGGATGGCACTGCCAGTCCACGTCTCAGCCTCGTGAGAACCCTTTCCCTCCTTTAAATGTCCCTGTTATTTCTACCACTCTAATTTACCTTTTAGAATCTGTATTTGGCTTGACAAAATTTTAACCTGGAATACAATAACGTTTTCCACAGTCCCTTCTAAAAGCCATTGACCAAACTGGAAAAATCTGCCTGAATGGTATATGCTTATCCTAGACATCTATTGTACACTTCTAAACAGTGACTTTTTGTTACAACTTTCTCTCTGGTTAAGCAGTTAAGTGACTCTTTCCATCTGGATGTCAACATCTATGAAACGTATTTGTGCTCTCTAACACATGTAAACAGTTCCATAACAATGTCTTTTTTCTGAGTTCCAGCTTTGGTGTCAGCTGTACCAAGAGTATAAAATTTTGTTTGAATGACTTGGCACAGTATACTATTGACATCACATACTGTACACTTCTGCCCAGATAGATCTAGCCATCAGTAAGACGACAGCTGGTGTGTTCAAACATTTTATCACCTCATAGCATTGTAACATATATGCATATTCAATTATCACAGCTGACTGATGTGACAATGTGTGAAGGTTACTTTTAAATTTGCCAGTTTTCATAGAAATCAACAAAAAAATGCAGTGTGCACATTCGCATCTAGTTGCAAGTACACACATTTTAAATGATAATGCCATACCTCTAAACAAGAATGTATTAGCTAGGAAGACAACACTATTTTTTAAATGATTTAAAGACACTTACAAGCGCCTTTACAACCTAAGCACCAGGTACAAACCACTCTGGTGTCAGAGAAACAAAAGCATTATACAGACAGATTAGAACAGTTTATAAGAGCCTCTTCACTATGTCATACATGTATGCAGGTATTAGGACTGCTGTGGTTTAAAATACAGACAAAACCCTGGATAACACAAAAACTACCTGTATTAGCACATTGTAGAGCAATATATTTTGTATAGCAGAAGAATGACCTTGTTCAAAGATCTAATTCAGCTTCTAGCGCTACAGTAAGTTTCCTTCTTACTCTTGGAACTTAATACTCTTTTGTCTAGGTGGTCTCTGATCTAACACTTGTTTTCTCTGTTATAGAAATCAGAAGTTATTACCCGGGGCTTTAAATCAAAGAGCCAGCATTTCCACAGTTGGTATAAAAAACCCCATAAATATGATTTAAACAAATCCACACATTGAACAAACAACTGCTTTAAAAGTCAACTTACTATTGTCTTCACATACGAATTTGGTCTCAGAGACTGGATAGTGCTGCCAGAATTGCCATCTATACATGAACGTGCTCCATAGACCACAGTGATAGGAATGTCTCGATCCATTTGTGGAATCCGTTGCAGCATTGGCCTTTTTGCCCATCCATAAGGAATAGTCATGTTCTTGAAAGCTGTTTCACCACTTCAAGCAATTCAAAAGGGTAAAAACAATTCAATTTCCATTGGATCTGCCTTTTCTCTAAATTGGAATATCTGTGCCTTTTGGTAACACAGACTGCAATAGTACACGAGGCTGGGATTTTTTACTATTAAGAAACACAAGTTTTCAAGGCCTGCATGTCATTTTCAACAGAAAGAACCTATGTTTTTACAGTACTGAGTGGTAATACTTAAAAGAATAGCATGCCTTATTTTTAAAGTTTTCTAAGACATTCTTTACAAATTAAACTGCTGTAACAATTTTTTTTTATTACGAATTAGTACCCAAATTCTCTCAGAATTAACACCCAGGTAGTTCAGAAGAAACAGAGGCTTAAGATAGCTTTTACATTTTTCAGTTTCTCGAATGTAGAAAAAGTGCAGTACTATCTTTTTCTTCAATTAATACAATAAATGTTTCAATTAAAAACAAAAAAAAAGCAAGCCCACTGTTGCCATGGCCATTGAAGGGAGTAGCAGGCACTCAGTAAATGAAAGATAGACTTCAAAACATACACTCGGAAACTCATACTCACCTGGGTGATTGTACATTGCAGTGATAGATATACTCAGCCACAGTGTTATCATCAAACATCGATGAATATTTTCGCTTGAAATCCGGTCTTAAACGCTGAACAAGGCTTAATCCTGTTAAAACAGAAAACACTGTTAGAGGAGGAATTAGTATAGACATCTTTATCAGATTGGCCAACGCTTTTCATTGCAACCCTCCAATCACGTTCCCTTGAAATTCGTGGCTAAGCTTGATGACTTCTAAACCAATGTTTTGTTTCACCACTTGCATGCCTTAGGAAAACATGATGGCTTTACACCAAACAGGAACTAAACAGACATAGTCTAAATGCTGCACCAGAAGAGGGGCAATTCAATACATATGGTGAACGTTTGAGAAGGGCCACTGCAGCAATAGAGGAAACACGCAAATGGGACCAGCAAAAGCGCTACGCAGAGTATCTTTTTGCCACCAGTTTAGTCTCAACTGATACCAACACTGCCTTTCTCCTTGCTCAGGCAGTACCAGGTGGGCCAAAAGCAGCCCACCTTTCAGAACCAGAAGGCACTGTTGAAAAAGCTGGCCTGTTTTTCTTCCTTAGATGCAAGTCTGTGCTCTCCTTTTACAGAATAGTCTTCTTTTGAAGCTAGTTCATCTAACTAGTGTTAGTAGAAAGAACAGAAGTCTATGCAGAAAAACAGGTGTAGAAATCTTGACAAGAGTATACGACACAAGAACTGGTATAAATCAGGAGATGAAACCTAGGATAGCTATAGTCCCTGGTCTCTTAACAGCCAAAGTACAGAAGCGGGTTCCGTCAGGGGCCAGTTCGGGCTTTCTAAAGTTAAGCTGCTATTCTGAATCACTTCTTTAAGGAAGAAGCATCTTCTAGTTGACCAGACAGATACTTGGGAAAAGAGCCTCAGCAAAGGCTAATCTAAGAATATTATTCACCCCTGAAAAGATAGCCTCGCAGTTTACTACTTGGGTTTATCAACTGAAAATACTGTTGTTAATCTGTGCAATTATGATGATGTCACTTCTTCCCACCAGTCCCTGGCCAAAGGCCTGGTACTATTTAAGTAGACCTTGTCACAGTGATCTGTGCTTTTGTAACCTGAAGATTATACTATTGCAACACGCCCTTATGTATGCTTTAAATCAATTTAGAAAACTAATACAGTGCAAGAGAAAATAATTCCCTTAAGAAACAGCGATTTAAGTCCTGAAGTCGTGAAGATTTTGCAAACATTCTGCAATTTGCTCTGCTGCTTGTATGTCCTCTATTATAGACAGTTCAGTTGCTGGACTTCTGTCTTTTTTTATGTTTAGGGTATTTTTCGAACACTAACAATACAGCTGGCTTGGGATAAGAGTACCTGGAAGAAAGAGACTAATTCTGTGTTTTCCCCTGCTATTGTTATAGAGACCACACCATCTCCATTTCCAATAACTAAGGACTGAAAGTCACCAAATTTCAGAATTCACTTTCTGTTTTGATAGAAAGTGTTTTGTCTGTGGGTCCAACCACAAAACCGTTCTTCTTCCCTGGGAATTTACACGGGAGAATCAAACAAGGAGTCAAGGCACTTTGGAAGAAATTTTATAATGAAATCACACTGGTTCATTCTTGTAATGTTTACTGAAGACACCCTCAATTGTCTCGATGATGTTTTTCACAGTGTCTATGGAAACACTGGAAGAAATACTAACACTGAAGACTCTGAGCTCCACAAAAAGGGTGTGGTCACAGTGACATTACTGATGTAAGCATTCAGCTCTAGGAATAGAATTCACAATCTAGGCACCGAAACCCCTATACTGTGAGCCTCCTGGGTGACCGTTTCAGTTAAGTGAAGGAAGACACGCACATCAACTAACTGGAAACCACTCAAAGAAAAAGATCTCTCTTGATTCTCTCTCTCTCCCAGGTTTAAGTTTCTGCCTGCAGGTCTGATTAAATATCCATGTAGTACCATCATGATACCCCAAAGAACCTGGCTTCCATTTAAGTGCCTAACTTATACCTCTGAACAAGAGCAATTGGCTTTATAATGAGGATCAGACAGCTACACCTGCCCAGAAGCTTAAACACACGTACATGTAGAAGGAAACCAGGGTTTGGTTCAGTGCCTTCATCAGGTTGGGTTTGATGCCTCCCTTGCAGCATAGTGTTTAAACTTACCCTTCTCAAGACCTATGCTTCACCTGTCAAGAATTGCACAATAAGATGATGACGTAAAACTTTTTTAACACATGGAGCGAGAAATGGACGAAAAGTTTTGAAAAGCACTGCCCTCCACAGTAACCTGTAAGTGAGGCTAGGTTGGGGATACCTTGCCAAGACAGGGTCTGTTTCTGCAGCACGGTTTTGATGCACTTGTTTGCTAAGGGAGACAGCTTCAGCTTTGAACTCTTCCACATGGATTGATTTATGCATGCATTTGTTATTAGATAAAAGGCATTAAATCAGTGCTTATCAGTCAATATGCTTCATGTTGTTTTGTTAACCAAATTAGCATTTTACTTTAAAAAAAAAAAAAATCTCTCTGTACAAAACGTGGCTTGTCTGAAAAGCTAATTTTGTCACACTTGCAAAAACAATCAAATAGATCAGCATATTAAAATACATACTCTATAGAAAGATATTTAGGAAACAGATGTGGTTTAAATGTAAACAAAGCCTAGAAATGTCATTAGTTTCTCTTCAGAGTCAATACTAAAACCGATGAAGAGGCGAGTTAATTGTAACTTGCAAGAGGCCTGAAGGCTATCTTTTTCCAAGCCTCTCCAGCAGATACTCCTGTGGTACAGAGACTAATAGACAGATAACCTCTTTCCCCTCTAGAAGGAACACATATGATGAATTTAAGATTTGATCACAGCCTTCTCCCCGCTCCCCACATAAACTCTGTATACCCTAATACTAGGACTGGGTAGGGATGACCAAAAATACTACGGTATTAGTTTATCTAACATCTTATCAGTGCTGTTGAAGAAACGTAGAAATACGAAGGACAGACTGCCACTGTAATGCAGGACACCAATAAGACCCACAAAATTTGTTAAAGTAGTAAGAAAATGGCTAATGGAAAGAACCCGGTTTCAATTTAACTTCTCTAAACTCAGGCCAAAACCAAATGAGTTTGAGAGACTGCCTTCTAATGTTAACCAAATTTGGAAATCCTGTTTGTCCATCAAACTGCAGTTGGAGGGGAAACTAAATGGACTGTGACTGGAGGCAACCAGAAATAAAACCTTTTCACATTCATGCTTCTTTGTCAGCCTTCCCCAACAGATGTGCACATAATCTGACTCACTATAATGGTAGCCTACAATAATATAATGTAGCTTGCTATAAACTATCATATTATATTTCTAATAGAGATTGCCCTTTTGTATTTCTAATAGAAAGAGATTGCCCTCTTGTCCTAAAGAGTTCATCTCTTTCCTCAACCTCTCCCACTTTTTCCTCCAATTCTTTTCTCTGTGGGTGATATGGGCTTGCAACAAAGCTGCAACAAAGCTTATCTTAATCTGGTATCTGTTCCGTGTTTACGTTTAATGAAAACAGAAACGGTATTTAAGAGTAGCTAAAACTCACCAAAGGGTCCTGCTATCCTCAGCCCAGCTAATGGATTAAAAGGACTCAATATAGCTCCTAGTGCTTTGATCCAGATTGGAATTGGTCTTTCGTGATCAGCATTGTCAGGCCTCTCTGGAAAACCCCACGGTTCCACTAAGATAAGATGTTTGACCCTGTTGGCAAAAAAGGTTCAGAGGTTTAGAGTACGTTAACTTTTCTTTGACTGAGTACGACAGAAATGTGTTATCTATGGACTATGCAACCTGTTTTAGTCACTTCTATCATAGCAGCTTATTACCTAGTTTCTGATTCATCAACAGTTTTGCTTTTGATCGCTAATTATAGAGAGACTGAATTGCAACTTGGAAGCTCATGTCACAAAGAAATTCAGTATTCAATAGATACTCACTGTCATGCACATTTGAGAAAAAGGCCGGTCTTATTTCTATTTTTAAAAAGAGCCTAATCTATATGCTCAGTCAATGTTATTTGCAGGAGCAGTTCAATTTGAGAGAAAAGAAGATAACTGCATCTGTTTCATTTAAGTAAATTTGCTAAAAGTCTTTATTTTCCAAGCCATCTATGATCTCTGTTCTAAGAAGAGATGCAATTTATCTGAAAAATTATCTTATCAAAGTGAAATTTAAACTGAGAGAGGCAGAGCAAAATTAGCAGATATTTTCTAAATTTATTGATTTTAGGTCATGAAAGAAATGTCAGAGAGACAATTTATAAAATTATTACTTAAAGGAATCTCAGTACAGAGAGCATAGTAGGAGTCTCCAGCACATGCAACTATCAATCACTTCATGCTGCAAGTCCCCCTCAAGCAAAAAATCTATTTCATCTTGGTAGATTGGAATCATCCATTTCTGTTTAAACCCATAATAACACCAACTCTAACTGTCCTAAATACTGCCTATTTCTGAAAAAGTGCCTCTTTAACTGTAGTTTTGCATATTTAAGGTGATTTTTCCATGCAAGCTTCATCATCTTTACTTTCTTCTTCATGACTTCCTTCTCTTTCAAAGCCATGAGATTAGATATCTAATACAGAAGAGTTCTTAGTGCCTAAAACGATGTCAAAAGTGATTCCAAAGGCTATTTTTGGACTATAATCAGTTGGGAAACCAAAAATCTGTGCTTGAAATGAGGAGTTGAAAAGGATTAACCTCACAAAGATGTTTCTTGGCTGTCAGCTCAGCCTCGAGCATATTTGCACACAGCAGCAAACACGGTAAGAGGACAGGGTAGAATTTAAGCGTACAAACCAAGCAGGAGAGATTAGAGGCTAAGGAGCGCAAGCAATGAGGAGCTGTTCAGGACAGACACACGTTCTGTGCATAAACTATGGAATTAAACATACTACACTGGCTACCACAGGAATAAAAATAGAATAAGCTTTTTCATGTTTCCTTTCTTATTACTTTCCTTCCTATTTGGCATTTCTTCTCTTGGTAAGCAAGCCTAAAACATAACCCAGGGTAACGGGAAGTTGACCGTGAGAATCGTTCCAAAAGTAACAGTCCAGAAGTTGTAGTATTTGAAAATCATGACCCACCACCACCCAGACATATTCTAAACGGGAACCTTTTTGGACTAGTAACCTCAGATGTCCCATGAACAATTTTGGTACCATGTAGTAAATTAACAGATCATCTAAGCTTGGAGAAACAGATCTACTTTCCTGACAATATGTATCCAGAATCCCTTAAGCCTCTAATGCATTGTTAGATAATCTGGCTGAAAGCTGTGCTATATTTATCACTTGATTCAATGCTGTCTTATGATCCTACCAGTCAATTTGCTAATTTGATAGTGTTAGTTTAATTTCAGAGGAACATTAGTAATGTGAGACCACAAACTGAAATGCCCCCAAATTAACCCCCATTCAAGCACAGTGAGGCATGAAAACAAAGTGTCACTTTCGATGTAAGTCGGCAGGGGGCAGAAACAATATCCCATCCAACAGGGATAGGATAGTGCCATTTATAGATACTTCAGAAAAAGGGGTAAGGAACTTGTAAGTGATCCCTAAAAGAAACTAACTACAGCTAGCTAAAAGTTGTTTTATGCCCCAAAGGGTAACAGGTTTACATTCCTAGAGCAGAGGACTGCATTTCTTCATTGCAATTCTGCATTGAGACACATGCCTACTTTCACACATCATTTCCAGCCGCATATGCTAGCAGTCATCCACTTGGAAAGAAAGAGGCAAAGTGTTTTAGGAAAAAATCTCCAAATGAGAGACAAAGAAATGTATATGGTACAAATTGATGTGAATAAAAGAATAAGATACGTTTTGTATAGTATAGAATGTGCCATACAATGTGGAAAGCTAAACTTATATTCACAGTTTTTCACAGGAGTCCCCTATGTGTATCTAAACAAAAGCAATGTCCTTTTTGATACAGAATGACCCCAGTTGGTGGGATCCTAGCTCACCAGGGGCTATGTAACCAGACTGTATCATAAAGAGACAAGTTATTAATTTACGGTGGAAAACATGGATTATCTGTTGGCCACAATGCGGTGCAGAAAATGCTGATGAAATACAATTACAGGACTGCTGCAGTTGGGCTGTTTTGCAAAAAAGAAATATGAAGTGACACACAGACAACTTAAATCAAACAGTCACTAAAATAACTTTTACATCATCATGCTGGCACCAGGCTTACTGCTAGCATATAGGCATAAATTACCTAGGGGAAGTTATGTTCAGAAGTTTCAATGTTATCCGTAATAATGGGAAGTTTGGCAGAAACAGGCCTATTTTCCCTTCACAAACATGTTTGATCAGAGATGTCAAGAAACATTTACCCATAAATACGATCTTTGCTATTGTGCTTTATAACATGGCAAGGGGGCACTGAACAAAAACAAAGAGGTGCAGAAAAATACAAAGAAAAACATGTTTACCATATCTACTTATTTCTGTTCCCCTGGAAACAAACCATACAATTAATACTTTGGGCTTAAAATTCAGTATCAAGTTTCTTTAAATCGGCACAGTCATTTATTTAATCTATGAAGAGCCTGATGAAATAAAAGCTGTATTAAAATCACTAGTCAAATACAGAAAAGGAACTCCTTCATTCCTTTATTTTCACATACCTTGATGGGTATTTTAATGAGTAGGCAGCAGCCAGGAATCCACCTAGGTTGTGTCCAAGTAAAATCATTTTTTCTAACCCCACCTCCTTTCTCCATTCTTCTATGGATTCCACAAACTGATTTTCTGCTTCCCGAGCATCAGTATCAAAGTGTGGTCTACTGCTACGTCCAAATCCCAAGAGGTCAAAAGCATGAACGGTCCTGTTCTCACACAGATCTTCAAAATTGAGAGCCCACAGTCCAACACCTCCTCCAAACCCATGCAGGAGAACAAGCGGAGTTTTACGTGAGAGGTCCGGAGAGAATGTCAGTGTCCATATTTTATTTCCGTTAGATATATACACATACCGTTTATTGTATGTGCTTGCAATACCTGAAGAAAGAATGGGAAAACATGATGTTGCTAGACATGCCTAATAAAATATGAAGTACATTCTACAGAAACCACTGTTTTAAATAGGAGCTTCCTTTCAAAGGAGAGAGCCTACAATCAATCTAAATAAGGGAACAATGAAAGTCTAATTCTAAACCTGCTTATTTCATCACAGTGTAAAAGCCATATTTAAAAACTTCTTTGACTACATTTAATGTAAATTTATAGAAAATCTAGTTATATCTGTAAATCTTATTAAAAAACCAAAGACTTACATTTTAGCATTTTGTCCTCAGCTTCTTTAAGGTGTAGCAGCGATGTGGGACACCAGGCAGGAAGCCAGCTGAATAACCATCCTAACCTATAACAGCAATATAGAATAAAAATTTCTTGAGCGAGATGGCAATTTTTTTGCATCATTTGATGCTTTGAAGTAATTTCTTTTGCTGCTTTTCATAAAAGAACCCATGTAAACTAGATGCCACGCAGGACAGGAGCGCACAGTGGGAAGGAATTCACTTTCTTCTGACTTTTTATAAAGTCGTGCCACGATCAGGGGCGCTCTTTCAGTGCTCTGTTTCTCCACTGTGTGTTCCTTATCAGAGTGTACTGATCTGTCTCCGTCAGAGTAGGCTTCTTCTGAGAACCTGGAGACATCAGCCCTCACACTGACCCGACAAGCCTGGAAGGATATGTAACACAATCATTGAGGTTTCCAGCCTCCTCTCATGTTCCCTTGGAAGTCAGCCTGCACACACATTACCTTGCATGAACCTACTATTTCCAAAAAAGCAACAAACCGTGCGCTTGCCAGCCTAACCTGAACTGATTCATACACTAGATAAATTTAAAAAGTGAAAAATAAGCAGGTTTATTCTAGCAAAGCAAAGACCTGAGGCCTTCATTACCAACTTAGAAACAAAGTCCCAGAGAAAAACAAAACAGCATTTTCAATTCCCCCAACAGAAGCTGCTTTTCCAGTTGTCAGTTACTATCTTGGTAGCACTAGCTTGACCATGAGAGCAGTGGGAATGACTCAGCTAGCAGCATTGCCTCACCGACACTGCTTCAAAGGACACAATAGGGTACAGCTCTTCCTGCGTGCTAATTCATCCCTTGTTTTCAAGACGGAATCCTCTTTTTCACATACATGTATTGCTTGACAAATACAGTCAGCAAGCAGAAATGCTTAAAACAAAAGTTATCTTTGCAATTCATTGATTCTGTACTCAGTGAACTAAAAGAGCAAGTGAAGAAGACTGTCAAAAAAGCGATCACTTTCTAGAAAGTAATTTGAGAAAGAAAATATTTAGTTATCTATATTTGAGACTTAATCCTTTGCTTTCCCCTCCTCCTTCCAAAAATGATTTCCCACATTGCTAGATGCTTTCCACACATGGAGAACAATTAACTACTTAGTATATTTGAATAATTTCTCTGATAGCACTATTTAATCTATTCGAATCATTTCTCTGATAGCTTTGGAACACTGGAGTGTGGCTATATCATTTCTTTTGTACATCTGTGCTGAATGTCTTCTAAATGCACACAAGAATATCAACTGCTTACACAGCCTATCATTTTTACTTCTGTGTTAAAGTTAAAAGGGCTAAGTAATGTCAAAAAAGAAGCAATGGACCTTTCAAGACAGTGTGCTCACCAGCAATGGAGCTGAGATATGAAAAAAACCGAAAGATTTCAGCAGTAGTTTCACATTATAAGTGAGCTACCCGCTGCCAGAACAGGCGGACCCCACTCTGCTCTCATGACCCACCACTTCCCAGACACCCTGTTTCCATCCTTCTTTTTAGAAAAAGTGAACAGTGGAATTCTGTATTTTGAAGAGATAAGAAATCCATTTGGCTTAGCTGCTTGCTATATCAAAATGTGTGAAATAAATTGGGCAAATGACAGCCCAAATCTCTATCACGTTTATACTGATTGTACATATGGGTGTCACACGTCAAGTTACCAAGGCACATAACCAGTGCAATTTAACTTGTATATTCATTTGTGGCCATGCACTAACATAAACCAGTGTGCACATCTATGCTAAAATAGGCAATAATCAGAAGGGCAGAGCATGCCAGAGAATGCCTCCTTGCATCTCCTATTTGGGGTCAGTTACACTTTTCACAGCCACCTGAAAATGTCTGGTGTACCAGAGGCAGGAAAAATCAGAGGCCAGCAGGTGGGGGGCTGCTGACCTGCTAGGCATTCAAAGTCGTCACCCTCTCTGCCCACACACCTCCACACTTCTTGTAACACATCTGGGGTAGGAGACCAGAAGGTAAGGGAAAGTGTCAGAGACACCCACTGAACAGTCTTTGACATGGAGAAAGTCAGCGTGATTATTGTGAGGCTAGAAGATTTATAAGACCATCAGTAGCCTATGCTGATGACCAAATAAATAATGAAAACAAAAAGGACACAGGCACAGACATCTGACAACATGGAGGTGCAACCACTATGCGCCCCTGAGCCCAAGCATAAGAAAGAATCAAAATAAATAAACAAAAAATAAGTAAATAAAACAATTATTTAAAAATAAATAACAATTACTATCGTTAGACATCTAAGGAGTAAAGAATAATTGAATATTGTGTAAAATGTAACTAAGTATAATACTGCTTTTCCTTAGCTGCTTGAACGTTAATTTGAATCAAGAACTTGCTGTCACAGCACAGCTTAAATTGCCCAAGGGTTCAGTTCAAAAGAACTGAGAATCAAGTAGAGGCAGAGGCATAGTGAACCTGACCCACCCATCCACCTCCACTAATTAGGTCAAATTGGATGAAGAATGTGGCAAACAGGTAACTCAGATACCACCATTCTGTCAGCTAGATTAATCCTGTTTAGCTTGGTGAAAATTCATTACTTACAAGAGAACTAATGGATCTGTAGCCAGTTACAAAGTTGACATACTGCACAAAAAGCTTATGAAAGCTTAGACAATACTGAAGAATTGAAAACATCTATTGTTACACTGAGGTATGCACTCAAACAGCTGAATAGTCCATCCGTACATATAAATGTACGTACATGGAGCTCATTGTCTCACTTTCCAAGCTTACAATTTACTTACTCAGTTATATGAATGCATGGCTTACAAGATGTATTAAGCTTAAAATCATTCAACAGAGGTTATTTTCCCATGTACACCACCACTGTAGAGCTAGCTGTGATAATCTATGTAAAGCCTGTGTGGCCAAAAAGTGAAACAAAAAACCTGTAAGCAACGGAACTCCACTAAAGCAGAGTAAATGAAAGCAACACCATTTGCTACATGACAATTTGTCAAAAATTGCTGGCCCACCGAGACAGGACACGCAGAGATCTTTCTACAATACTGAATATAAAAATCGGCTTTTCACTAAGAATTTTGAAGTTAGTAAGGTAACCAAAACTCCCAAGACAGACCAAGAAACTGGTGCTGAAACATGCATTAGTGACAGAAATGTGGAGAGTAGACTTCCCTGTCATGAAGATTATTTGGATTCAAAAATTACATCAGTAGGGAAGCCAGAGCTCAGGGTATGCAACAATCACACAATAATTCACAAGTAAAGGATTACGGGAATGTAACTGAATGCATGAGCAACAGAGCTGCATTATTTGTTTTTGTCTTGTTCTCAGCAAATGAACATATTTAATATTTTGATTTTTTGCAGACAGTGTTGCGAACTACTAAGTTTTTAGCTAGGGAACAAGCTCAAAAACTTACAAAGCTGAAACACTGAGTGAACTCACTGGTAAACCATTTCAAGCTTTACCCTTTACCCTTAAATCTTATTAGAATCAAGCTGATCTTTCAAAAACCCTAACCCTCTCCTCTCCTGACTCTCAGAATTAATTCCGGCTATTTATAAGGAAGGAAAGAAAATCAAATTAATGCAGAGAATCTGTTGTACTGTTTATGCCCAGCACCAAGTGGAATGGCATTGTGATTTTCAGGGCCATCCATCAATTCAAGCTAGCCCCAAAAAGAATCTTGCACCTTAACAGAAAAACAAGGGTAAGCTAGTGGAAAGACAGCTCAGACTCTCCCATCTTTTTTCTGCACAAAGTATTTTTGAAGTACTCTGCTAGCAAAGGAATTCAGAACTGCCAACAGGCTGAAATCTAAATACAATAAGCATCATAAGGCTTACTCTTCTAAGGTCTCACATAAGCCCATCACATAAAAACACTTACGCATTGCACTTCAATGAAACTAGTCATATACTTAAGTGTTCTGCGGAATTAAGGTTACAGTGCTCAGTGTTTTATCAAAACAAACCCTAAATACTTCAGTATTATCATTAATCCATAAGTAACACTCAAAGGAGATCAATAATTAAAAGAATGGAGCAACCACCCACAGGGAAAAGCAACTCAACCCTTTCAATTGTTACAGAAACACTAAGAATGGGGAAAACAGGAAGAGTAAAAAGGAGCATCACATATTCATAACGGGGCAAAAGGTCAACATATCAAATTTAGGGCAAAGTGCCAACTTAAAAAGTAAACTGTTTTACTGTAATGCTCTAAGGACACTCTATGATTAATATAGGATTTTGTATGGATGGATGCTTAAGTGAAATAACTAGAGATACACTTTTCTCCTTTTCATTAGCTGCTTCTTTTCCTCTCTCTTTTTTTTTTTTTTTTAAAGAACAGTAGAAGTAAGTCTGTTTACTGAATGTTTTCTGCATTTTCCTCAGCATCAGCAGTAGTCTACTCAAAACCTAAGAGGTAAGTAGGACGTGGTTTCTTTCATCGTCAACACCAGCAACTTTTCAGAGCAAATTTTATTTTTGGTTACCAAATTTCAAGTTTACAGGTTATAACCTGAAACAATACAAAGCAAAAGAAACAGTCAAGTATAACACAATCAAATAGGATTTTGTGTGTCAAAACGTCAGAGAAAAGTAGCAGGTTTACATATGGCTAATTTATGTTCAAGATAGAGTTAAGTTATAATACACTTTTCCTTTCCCATTTAATTAATTTCGTGGCTTGCAATACCAGTATACTGAGTGCTGTTCACATGACTGATTACGGCAAGAATTAATGTTTCTTTATTAACATTTACCAGCAACACTACCATTACAAAAAACCCTATTTAAGTAAAGAAAAATATTTTTATTTCCAACATCCACTATGTCCAAGTTTCATCTTGTTCTCTACTCCCAGGAGAAGTACTCTTGAATGTAGGTTGTTTAACAAATCACTGGGAAAAAACACAATAAACCTATTTCAAACTAGTGTGTGAAAGAACAAGAAAACATGTTTCTGCAGGAAAGAGAAAACAAAACTCCAGTAAATTGAAAAGTAAACTTGAAGAGATACAGAAATGGCAGCTATTTTCAACTCAAGGAAGTTTTAAAATTGTTATATATTGGAATTGCATATCTATGAATCAAATTTGATAACATTTTTCTGTTTGGTAACACAACATTAAATGACTAATAGTGATAAATTTAAATTTAAAATGCATAAGGTAGTACCGCTAAAATTAGGATGTCACTTAATCATTGTGGATTTAATGTTATGAACAGGTTCAAGATCTCCTATGTGGTTTCAGCCAAGCCAGCAGTCTGTTTAGAATTTCAACAACTGTAATCATTTAAAATCCAAGAAAATTACAATTTCAAGCTTGGTACAAATTTAGGCAAAGCAGAAATCTTGCTATGACAGAGAAAGCTTGGGTGAAGAAAGTTTTAATGTAAAGTAAATAAAATATATTCTTAAAGACCAAGATTCTGTTCAAAGAACATGTAAGAATATAACAGTGAGACTTTATTAATTATAAAATGAAGTAAAAACTACAAAGCAAAGCACATTTAATTGAAAATGAGAGACTGTATTACTGATTAGCATGAAAGCGGACTCCAATTTCCTAATTAAATTTGTAAAGTTTAGGAAATTAGGAAAATATGTTTATCATGTGGAAGTAACATGCTCTGCATGAACTCAAGAACAAGATGCAGCAAATAAATACACATTAGACTTAAACCTTTGACAGAAGTAGTCAACTACAGTTAATATTCACTGTTAAGTCAAGGAAAGCCAATTTTTAAAATGAGAAAGATAAAACACACAGAGAAGCCCATGTGTTAGTCCAGCTCTGAAAAGCACCCTACTTCTGCTTTTTCATTCCTGCCGGTATCAGTATGTGATAAACCGAGTGATGTGATGCTTGAATCTCAGGCCACCCTTACTACCAGCAGATCAGATCAGATCTAAAAGCTTACTATTCCCTCTATTTTGCCAGTTCAACTATTTCTGTGGTTGCTCTCTGTCAGATTTGTGAAATGATTCAGCTTTAAAAGAAACAATGTTTTAAAGCAGATAATGATGGAGACCCAGCTGACAGAGAAGCCAAACAGCAGGCCTATGGGCTAACAAGATGGGAAAAAAAGACTAGTGCAGCAAGGTGGAGGACAACAAGCTTTAAAGTCAGAGCTGCCACTGACAGACAGTAACATATAAACATGACCTCAGTCAGTCTGGATTTAACTGGGCAGGGATGTCTCAGGAACAAGGCTCAGGATATAGTTTCATGAGAACTTTGAGAACATAACCAATTTTAGGAGTCCTTGCAGTCGTCCCCAAGGTGCAGCATGTTCTTTAGCACTTCAGTTTTCTGAGAATAATGAATATAGCCACAATCACTCAAGCATACACAATCTATGTACAGTAACTGTTATGGCAAAGGCTGTGTATGTGAGGGCAGAGCTTCTGCATGTACAATAGAAGTCAGACTTAGTAACCACAACAACAATTTGAATGAGATGTTCCTAGGACAAAAATTAGGCTCTGGCAGTTGCAGACAAACATCAGGAGAAGAAAAATATTCCATGTTCCACTCCATAATCATTGTATGAAAAGACCAAAAATGTTGTAATCCTCAGGGAAAGACCTTGAGAGCACACTACAGAGGCAAGGCCCAGAAGCAAGAATTAGGAATATGGTATGGGAACAAAACCCCTCAATCCTTTAACACATGTCTATTTACCATTTAAATGAGGCGCGAAAAAAATGTATGAAATTGCTGTGAATGGGTTAAAAACAAAACCAATTTTTTTTCCCCAGATGTCATTATAACCCTGCCTAAAAAGTTCTGTTTAGATGAGTTTTGAGCCAAGATGTTCTATGCAATTAGATGTTGTGAAACTCCTGGATACTTCAGTAACATTAAAATAGAATGTTTTCAAAACCTCTGCAAAATATTTCTAGGAAATGTAATGTACATCAGCCCCATTCCAACAAAAAGCCCATGATAGGTTATTTCAGAATATTGCTACACTAGGACAGAGGTAAAAACAATGCATTCCTCATGTATTTAGTGCATCTTGAACTCTGTATTCAGAACATTCAACATCAGAATTAATGTAAAAATCCAGAAGCAAAATTTTATTACTGTCTCTATTTACATTACCCCTGCTACACAGCACTATCACTTATCAAAATTGAAACTGAGAATGTAAACAATGAATGTGAATCCATAACCAATGAACATTTTCTGGCTATTTTAGTGGTACTCAAGTTTATGCTATTATTTAAATTTATTTGAGCAACGTGTGCATTCAGGCAGTGGAGAGGACCTAGAATTTTGCTCCCGTGGTGAACCTCAGGCCATATGTATGCCTTGCTGTATATCTTGCGTCATTGCGGCCTCCTCCCCATTTTCTTCTCTGTTTCCTAGTATTGCCTTTCTTTTTTTTTTTTTTTTTTTTTTTTTATCCATATGTATCCTTTTACATGTTTTTGTCATTTCTGCCATCCCCTTTCTAGTTACACCCAAAGATATCCAGTTCGGGGCATGTGCTTTTTCAGTACGAACCCCAAGAATGGAGTTTATGCGTGGACCACCACCCACACCTACAACTGGTAACACTTACACAGCTTATAAAGTAGCTGAGTTGGGACCAATGCAAGAAACCATTAAGCACGTATGCGATAATGAAGGAACCACATGTGGTCATACAGCTATTACTTATTCCTATTACTGTTCACCACTATATAGGTTCCAAATCTATAAACAAGGGCAGTGCTCTACTGTCCTTCAAAACATCACAAAGTTCTCCACAGTCAGGTTAAAGTCAGACCACAAATATACTACTGAGCAGAGAACTAATTAATTCTAACAAGCTTTCAGAAACACTGTTCCTCCCTAACTTACAACACACTCTCTAACATAGAGGCATTTCCCCTTAAAAACTTCATAGTTCACTTCATGCTAATAGTAACCAGCTAAGCAAGCCCTAGGTTATTTCCTTCCACGTTTTCTAAGGACTCATTATTTTTTATTTTGATTTAAAACTAAACTCAAACACAGCCTATAGAGAAAAATCGTATCAGCAACTACAGACCAGGTATGGAAGAATGCAGAGATAAAGATGCAGAGGAGAGGAAAGAGGGGAGCTGCGCAGTCCCACTAAAATTACTCAACCTTGTGACAGAGATCAGGTGTGTAATACACAGGTTAGCTACCACTGAAGACCTACACCCCTCTGCCTCCTCCACAGTAAACCGGCATCTGATAGAACTTGGCATTGCCACAGTTGTTAAGCGTTTTTACAAACTACACATGGCACATCACATTCAAAATTTGTGAAAAAAAGCATAATTAAAGAAAATGAAAATTTCTTCTCAGTGTTACCTAACTTTCTACTAGTTTCGTTTTATTCACCCACCTACTGCTGTACTCCTGCTGCCCTTCAGATATTGCATAACCTCAGCCGTGCTTAAATCTTACTTGTCAACGTCCTCACACCTCCAGTGACAGAGGCCCGCGTTTCACACTGCCTCCGAGTTCCATCAAACAGGACAAGAACAGAACACACATGTAACAGGCTCCTCTCATAAATCTGCACCATTGCCCACCCATACTCTACCCTGCTTATCTTTTGTTTACATTCCATAGTGTATTATGCACAATTTAAATCACAATTTACACAGGAGATGGATGGGGTTTTTGTTTTTTTTTTTTTCATTTTTCCATAAGGAGCCATATAAGAACACAAATAAAAAATTATCTAAAGCACGATTATTTCCCTTAGATCCAAACATGCTATATCCAAACCCCACTCATATTCCAGTGTGAATAAGCACTGAAGACAGGTTGCTTCACTGCAGATCATTAGAACAGCTTCTATGTTGTGTTCCTTTATCACAGCCACCTATGGTGACTAACAGTTACCTATGTCAGACTTCAGGAACTGGTATTCACCGTTTTGGGCTACCTAGCCTCATTTCTACTTCTTGGAAAACCTAAGAAGTACACAACTCTTTTCATAACAGATTGTTTTGTGTACATGCCTACACTGCAAATGCTTTAGATGTCAAGGAAGTGTAAGTAGTCTTAAAAATCAATACGAAGTTAAATGCATCTAAAAAGTCATTGCATCAAATGTCCCCTTATAGAAAGGTATGATATAACTAATAAGCCTTTAGTGTTAGTATGACACAGTATGACTTACTAAACGTAATCAAGAAAAATTCTACAACAGTCTGCTAGCACTAACCACCCCATTTCTTTTTTTTTGTCATTGCAATACCCTTCTCTTCCTCACTTCAATATATGAGTGGACTTTCTCAATGGAAAGAGGCGCTCTTGCATCTTTTGTTACAGAATGCATTTTTACACCTGTCTTCTGCTCCCTTCTAGTCTCCTATGATCCTGAGTTTTCTACTACAACTCATTCAGAGCACCTTCCTCCTCTGCCATTCCTCACCATGTTTTCTTGGTGTCACTTAAAATCCTCCTCTTTTACCCTCTTAACCTTATTCCAGACTGACCTCATTCCCCAGCTTCACTGACTCACAAATCTTTCTTCTCCACTGACCTCTCTCCCGCTGTTCAGCTTCTCATCTGGATCTTTCAGAGCCAAGGCAAATGCAGACGCTCACCTTTCCTCCCATGCCCTCTTCTCTCTGGCTGTCAATACGAACAATGTACAAAAACCTATCCTGAAAGAATGTCAGAGTTGCAAGTAAATGTTGAAAAGTTATGAAACATAAGAATCAAAATTTCCTCAACAAGCAATCTTAATAAACCACTATATAAGAGGGAAGAGAAAAGACGCTTAAATAATTTATCTGTTGGGAAAGTTGTTCAGATTCTCCCATAAAAGCTCAGAAAAGTCAGAGATCCTCCTGGCACAGACACTGTTCCTTTTGGAGGGTTAGGTCTCTAATTGGGCGTACCAGCCACCTAGCAGGCTCTAAAGAAACCTAGAATATACCCAAAGGCATGCAATACTGGCTGAAGTTTGCATTCTCCGATGATGCACAGTTACCAACACTTTGGCAACCCCAGCAGTAACCCACAGCTATTGCCCCTCTGGATTTGTGACTCCCCTTTATATCCACGGGGCCTACGACATCGCCCACTCACAGGTACCCTAAGCCTACTTTGGCAATTTTTGTAGTAGTCTTTACCTGATACTTGGAAAGTTTCCACTTGACCCACAGAATTAGTAGTGGACTTTCTAACGCTGCCTCTTCAACCTGCCTTACCCCCTTGTCAGTAACATCCTAAACTTAAAGTTAAAGCTACTACATAATTACTATCTTCCTCCCTCTGCTTCTCCTATTTTTCTTTAAGGCCTTGAGCTAGATGGCTGATAAATCCTAGTCAGATTTTTCTTTGTGGGGGATTTCTGTCATAGCAGATGACTTGGCCAGGTAGTCGCTGAAGGAGAGTGGGATCTTCTACAGGAGGCAGAGAAAACCTTCAGGCCAGACACTGAAAGTGTCTGTTCTCTCATGACGGTTTCCGTAAAAATTTATTTCCATTTGCTGCATACACAAAGCATGAAGCACATGTAGCACACCCGAACTCTGGGATCACCTGCAGGCCCAGTGGTGGCAGTGGAAACTATGCACTTGGATGCTGCTTCACTGAAGGTGGCAACCAGCATTTCCACAGGCCACTGGAAAGGAGCAACAGAAAGGATGCACTGCTGCTCAGAAAGAGGGGGAGACCTTCTGCAGCTCGCTGGAGCACATCAGTGCAGCCTTGCCTCCTATTATCTAATAATAAGAATAAATTTCAGAAAGCATGGAGGAGAAAACCTTTCAGCCTTGACATGTGCAGCCAGTGGCATTCAAACCTCTAGATGATGTTTCCTAAGGCTGCCTCCCTTAGGAACCATAAAGAACTATGAAGAACTAAAGAATTCCCTGAAAAATAACAAACATATTTGCTGGATTATAAATTAAATGTATGGGATGCCCCAATTTTATTTTTAAACAGTGAAACAAGGTCCAGGGGCCTCACTGTTGCCTCATTAACAGGCCTTGACCAAGGCTGTGGTCCTTTAGCAACTCTTTGCGATCTGCCCTGCCATCTAATAACCTACTAAGCTGAGAGAACTTGAAAAGCAATAAGTAAATGTCTACTGAACTCTAAAATCTAACTGAAATCTAAAAATCCCCTTCACAAAAGTAAGCACATCAGGTATAACCATGGAGGACCAGTATGGAATGGGTGAAGCAAATGAAAAAAAAAATAAATAGAAAACTCTTCTCTAAATCTGTCTTCAACATGAGTCAAGGAACGTCTAATAAATAAGCAAGTTCAAAGAGGAGCCAAAACTGAGTAAGAAGAGCTGAACAGATCATCTACTTCGATACACTCACTGCAATTATTTTTTTAAAACTTTTTTTCCATAATGTATGCCTACAGTTGCCAGCTAGAAAAAGCTGAACATTACTGTCCTATCCCCTACAGTGCTTAATCAAGCCTCTCACAGGGGCATTTAGATGAGATTCTTCCTTGTCCAGGGACAGGGCCATGACCATCTTTTTTTCTGCCACTGGAACAAGAGGATAGCCCCTATTATATTTTGCCACCTTTCCCCTCTCTCCCTTGAGTCTATGTTGGGGGAGAAGACAGATCTTCCTGATGCACACAGACCTTCCCTTCCCAAATTCATACAAGGGCAGGAAAACTGTTAGAAACAATTCTATAAATGCTTGAAAACCTGCTCATGCACATACTTTCAGATGAGCACATGGATGTAACACAAAAGGCATTAAGCACTGAAGCTATGACTGACACAACCCTGCCAACAAAAAAACACAGTATCAGAAAAGAGGAAGGAAACATCCTTTAACTGTTTCCCATGTGCTTACCACACTGCAGTTATGTCTCACTCGCTCTTTAAAACGCAAGTTGTAGGTACCAGACCTGCTGCCAGTTGCCTGCACTGTAGGAAAGGCCCTTAGAAATAGTCTTCTTTCACAAAGGAAAGTAAGCAGTAACCTGCTTTCAGCAGTCTACCCATTCAGTTTGCTTTAAAACTGAGATGATACAATGAGCAAAAATTTTGGGTTGAGTGTCTCTTCATGCTTTAACATATCGCTATATCCCTGTGAACCATCCTACTAAGAGGCAGACATAGGCTCTATTAAGCCTAATAAACTATTATGTTTATTAATCAAACAGTTCACTTCCAAATTGTATAAAGGATTCTGTAATACAAACAAGATTGAAGGATAATACAAAAATAATTGTGATTACTGGTGTTGCAGTGTATGTTTTTACCTATTGTTCCCAAGTCGTCATTTTGTGAAACTACAGGCCACTTACAAGCAATTTGATGTAGGCTCATAAGTGCAGATCCTTTAAAACTTTTGTTTTAACGAAAGCTGTTGCACTAAAGAGGGGGGGAAAAAACCAGAACTCTGTTTTCAGGATTTTTTCCCGCATATAAACATACATTTAGTAGCTGCTATTCCTAGTTATATTACAACCCATAAGCAGTCCTGCTAAATCCAGAGTGAGTATAAGTGAATTCAATACCAGCAAAAGGCTTATGCTAGGCTCTTTGCCTCACAGGCAGAACTCTACGTCTAAAATTTATGCAGAGAAGGTCCAAGGCTGTGAAGAGGTTTGGAAATCGTTAGCAAGTGACATGTTAACCAAGCAATCACTTCCATGATGAATACTAAAATATTTGTTTAGTTAACCTTCTCATTCAAAGTTAGGACAATGTCACGAGTATCCTTCAGCCGAGATCTTCTAAAAAGTGACTGAGCCACTGCTATTCCATTTTCACCTCACTTTACACAGTTACCAGATTGCAACAAACTGAGCACGTAGCATAACAAGTTGAGTCACTCTATTTTTTCCAAAGCAGATAAAGTAAACTTCATAGTTATTCTTCATATACACCTGTCACAATTTAATCTAGGGGTTTGATGGTATATTGTAACTCTTTCTCTCACTGCTACGGAGTTTTAAAATAAAATAAAAAAAACCAACATAAAAATTAACGTATTTCACTTGTTTATAAATTTCCTCTGGGTACCAAGCTTTGCTCAACTTCAAAAGATGAAGAAATGCTAATTTTGTCTATTGTTAGAAACAGACTAATAAAAGCACCGACAGTTTGGAGCACTAACATTTCATCAAAGCTAATGCACTTTTTGAATTCATGGAAAAGAAGGATGAGATTTTGTTCTTAGAGGTCTTTAGTGAATTGGGGGGCTTACTCTGAAAGGCTTCACATCCAACGGCCCAACTGTTCAGAAGGGGGACACAACATCCTGAAAATCAACCCCCTTTAAAAGCTATGCAGCTGAGTAAACCATGATGAGGAATTTGTCATAATCCTTTTGAAAATTTAGCCTACGATTCCTAGTCCTGTGTCCAGATCATCTAGTGCTACAATCCTGCAATCCTGACAGGCTACTGAAGTTGAGGGCACTTGGCACCATCTCAGCAGCACTCAGCACTCCGTGTGATCAAACCAGACAGCTAATACAGTTCAGGCTAATGCGCTGCATGAACATACAAACAAAACAGGTTGAGGCAGAGCTATTTTAAGACTCTTACTTAGAAAACCCGTAAAACCATCAACAAGAGGCTTGACAAATGACAAGTATTTTATGAATGTGAACGGGTCAGAAAGAACACAGAACTAAGAAGGGGACTGTAGTTTCAAATAGGTAATGTTGCAGAAGGCAGGGTAGGCGGGGAAGACTGTTTTGAAAAGCTATTTTAAGTTTGAGGAAAGGAGAGCACAGAGTTACAGAGCAGACTAAACTGCACAGTGCATTGAAAGGGAAGCCTTTGAAGTTTATACTTAAAAAGAAAATGCTGTGATAAAGGCGTAACAGGCAGTTTGGAAAAGACAGATAGTCCAGTTCTGGTCAGATTGAGCTGGCAGAGCAGCAAAATATGTAAGATGAAATACCAAAGCCAGAAGTTTGAAAAAGAACTAAAAAGAGAACAAGACTGAGAAGGCAGGTAGTTTTGAAAGGTAACAGAACAGACACATACATGACAACATGCAAATAGTAGCAGCTTTGATACGAAGTCACAAATGCACAGCATGATTTTCATGCAAGTAGCTAAAGAATTTTAAGTGGAATTTCTCAAAATAACACAAGACTTAGTTAAGAGATAAGGGAGATGGAGAAGAAAAGGCAAGAAATGAGCTTTTGAGGGCCAGGCAATTGGCAATGATACACACCACCTGACATTTGAAGGATGAAGAAGTAGGAAAAATTCATGTAAACGGTGTATACAAAGCACATTTATACACCTGACAGGGGACAAAGCATATGTATGACTAGAACACAGTTAGATATCTTCTGGTAAAGTATTTTTGGACTAGTATCATAAAATATAATAGAACAAACTGGGAGATAAGTAACCAGCAGACGTAATGATGTTTGGTGAACAAACTCAGAGATGGGATGACTGTATTATTCTAC